TTCCATATCCCAGTATTTGACAACATCTCCCTATAGGGACAGGTTTGTATTTATGTTGGTAAAATGTCCCCTGCCTCAAAGTCTATTGTAACCCAACACCTGACAACCCCGAGTCCCATTTCTGTTTGCAGAAAGGGTTTATTCAAGCACATAATGGGATCCCAGCAGAAAGCCTTTCAGAACAAGGGGCTATGGTAAACTTCACCACATGAACTCCGTTTCCAGGGCTATTAAGCTTTTAATTGGAAAATAGCAGAGGAAATTTCAAGGTGACTATAACGTGTTAGCAGTTAGTGCGGAGAAGAAAAGCCGGAGTGGGAATGAATGTAGAAAGCATATGGTCCGAATCACATTTAGGAGAAGCTGCCTGCTTCTGCTAACTCCCGGCAGCTTATACACTTATGGGAAAAATCATCAAAGAAGTTGGAAAGAGAGGGGGCAGAATTTCAAGTAAATGTAACCTCACGGTGTGTGTGTGTTTTCAAACCGCAATTAAAATCGTGGCAGGTATTAATAGCGAAAGGGTGAAAAAGACTGTGCGTATGTGGTTCTTTCCGGCACGCATACAATCCATGGTGTCTGTATATGTAAAAACTCGGAGTGCAGGTGCCCCCGCCGAGAAAGCGAGAATGTTCTGATTCCAAATTTGGGAGTCTTGGTAGCTGCTCCTCGCCCCCAATGAACACTTATATAAAGGGGCAGTTTCATGTGCTCCCAGATGTATACTATAAAATGTTATACATGCTGATGAATATATTCCTGATTGAAAAGCAGCAGGAAATTTTCTGCTTTGCTGGATTCTTATGGGGCGGGGGCGCGAGTCAGGGATCCTATTTACTGTTTTGATCGCGACCACGGTGCCGTTGGTGCGAGGAGACGCTGGGGGCCAGGACGTGCAGAAACCCCTGTAAAGGCAGGGAAAAGGATCCTCTCTACCTGAGCATGAACTTCTCAGCTTGAACTACCAAGCTCTCTCATCCAGTCAGTGCCTCTCGGCATCACTCGCTGGCAGCTTCACGTTGAAAGGGGTGGGGGCAACGTCTAGCCCGACGGTAGGACGACCAGCAACTGATTTCTTGAGGTGGCAACAATATCCTTGTTCTCCCTTGATTGGTTGGAGAGAGGCTCGTGCACACCCCCCAGGGGATCCTCGAAGCCGTCCTCTGGGGCGCGGGGTGGAGGGCAGAGGCCACGTGGGCCGGGAGTGCTACTGAATCCGCGTCGGGCCGACCCGGGGAACCCCTCTGAGCAGAAGGAAGGACCTGGACGATCACGTCCCCACACCGTCTTGGAAGGGAAGGAAACGGGGTGCAGTGGGAAGCGTGCTCCAGATCCCCAGGGGCCCAGGCCTTCTGGAGTAAGCGGGGAAGCAGAACGGCCTGTGACCCCGCCGGCCCTATGCAGACGAGGCAGGGGCTGCTCCGTCCCTTCTTGTTCTCGAACTCTCGAAGCCAGGGGCCCTCTGAGCGGCGGCTTCAGCCCCACCCTTTCCAAGAGCGCACCTCGGAGCTCTCCCCGCTGGGCGGCGGCCCCGGAGGCCCCGGGCGCAGCTGCTCACTTCCCACTCCGGCCTCGGGTCCCAGCAAGGAGCGCCCGCGGCCCCGGGCCGGTTCTCTGCCCTGCAGAGTCTCGCGGGGCGCCCGGGCCGGTCACAGCCCGCCGGGGAACTGGAGGGCAAGGGACGGACAGGGGGCGTCGGTCAAGTACCTTCACCACTTTGGAAGGAAGGGAAGAGGGTCGCAGACACCGTCTGCCTTCGGTGCAGAGGAAGAAAAGAAAAACGCCTCCTCCGAGGCAGAATGAGCAGGGCTGACTTTAAGACACTTTTAAAATCATCTTTCTCCTGCGACTTCAAAACTAAAAACAACAGGCTGAGGAAGTTATTTGGGGGAATTTGACCAAACAGTCAAAGGACAAGGAAAAAGTTTCTTTTCCCCGAAGTGTTCTCTGTCCGGGCGCTGGGTACTCTTCTCCCCCAGGACTAGCCATTCTTCCAGAAAAGTCTCTCCCGCCTCCCCGTCCCCTGATGTTCCTAAACAAAGCCCCGCCGCGGGGAAAGCAGGAGGATGTGCGCGCTTCAGGGGAAAGAAATCCCCGTTCGGTCCAAGGGGCCCGGGAATAGAAGGGAAACGGCCCGCGCTGCTGGCACCCCAGGGAGAGTGAGCGCGAACTCGACGCCAGGAGGCCCGACCCGGCGCACGAGAGCAACGCTGCGAGGCCGGGGCTCTGCGCCGGGACGCGGGAACTGCGGGTGGGGTGGGGTTTGCGAGGCTCCTACCCGGCCTCCAGTTCCCGGCTCAAGAGCGCCCAGCACGACGCGACTTCCGGAGTGCTGGCGCCCCGCCCACCCCGCTCGCCCCGCCCACCCCGCCGTCTTGGCAGCTGCTTGGAACCGTAGAAAAGTTTGCTCAGTTGTTTTGGCGGGGTGGGGAGAACGGGGTTGAGGGAGAGGAACTTTAGTGGCTGAGGAGAGGCCCGTCCGCGCTTCCGTGAGCAGAGGGTGGGGGGAGAAGACGTCTTTAAAGGCGAGAATCGGGAGTCGATGGCGGCGGCCGAGCTTCAAAGGCGCAGGGCCCAGCGGGCTGCGGGCGTCAGGCCTTGTCCGCGTGTGCGCGGAGGGCGGGAGGGAAGCGAGGGCCCCGCGCCAGTTTCCCGGGCAAACATTCCAGAGGGGCGGCGGCGCGCGGGCGGCCAGCCATGACCTCCACCGGACCCGGCCAAGCCGAGGGTGCCGAGGAAGATTCCCCAGTCCCTCTCCAGGCTGCCCTTCGGGTTTCCTCGTAACGCGCGGCGCGTTCCAGAAAGCCCCGTTAATGAGACCCGATGCGAGGCGTCAAGATACATAAGCGTGGGAAACCGGTTCAGCACTAAGGTTCAAGTGGAGTGGGAGGGGACTCGATATTTATGGGTGGACGTGGGGCTTGTTTCTGCAACGTGCGACGGAACAAACGGCGTTGTCTGCCCGGCGGGGCTGGCTCACGCCCCTACCGGGGATTGCGGTATCCGTGCATGAGGAGCAGGCAGGGCCCCGGCTGCGAGTATGACCGAGGTTGGGGCAGCAAGAAAGCGAGTGTCACCAAGGACGCCCTGGATCTCAGTTCCGCGGCGCGGGGTCTGCAGGACACTAGTAGTGTGAGAGCCAGGGGTCCCCGGGCTGGAGCGCGAACCCATCGGCCAGCGTGCCACGGTGGGTCGTCGGCCCGAGGGCGGCGTCCGCTGGAGGGAGGTAGGGGTCCCCCGCGCCCCCAGCCATTGCACAGCCGGAAGCAGCCCAGGGTAAAGGCGCGTGCTCTCTGCTTCCAGCCACTCGTTGCGTGGCAGGAGCTTGTCAAGCTTCCAGGGGAGGAAGGCCCGGCCTGCCTGCCTGGGTTTCCCCGCGCCGGAGCTGCGGAACACCTGCAAAGGCTCAATAAGGGTTGTCCCGGCAGCCCTCATAGCCCGCCCGGGCAAGCACAGGACGCCCGGCACGCCCACGGGTGCACGCACGTGTTCTGCGCACTCGGAGACCGCTCACCACGGATCCCACCCGCGGGAGGAAGCGGCCTTGCTTGCTGTGGGTCTCCGCTGAAGTGGCAGAGCTTTGGAAAACTGACCGCCCTCAAATGTTTATTAAAATACAGCCGTGAGGCTTTACTGCCTACGCTTTACCCTGTGATCAGAATTGGCCAAATTCACAACGCATCCCTCCTAGGCCAGGCCTCGGGCCTGTCTTGCAACCTCCTAGGAGTCAAGAATAAAAACCCAAGAATAAAAACGGGGCGCGGGAGGAAGGGCCGCAGATCCCTCTTGTGGGGGAACAATTCAATAAAGGGGAGAGAAGCCGGGTCTTCAGGTCAGCCTGCGGCCCTGAGTGGCCCGCTGAGGTGCTGGAGCCCGGGCCCAATGCAGGGAGTGGCCCTTCCAGTGCCGGATCCCCGATAAGGGTCTCTGCGCTGCCGCCCTGTTGCCTCAGCAAACTTGGCGTCTGGAGAGGAAGGTGGACTTCGAGGGACCTTTCCCCAAAATCAGGCGCTACCCATTCGACCGGCCTGGGTTTCTGGGCGCAGGTGGCCGGGATACGCATAGGACCTTTCCCCCAAATCAGGCGCTACCCATTCGACCGGCCTGGGTTTCTGGGCGCAGGTGGCCGGGATACGCATGACCTGCGCAGCTCACGCCTGCCGCGCCGAGCCCGGCCCTCGGGGCGCACCAGGAGCCCACGGGGTGCTCAGGGAAGGCTTAGAGCGCACTGGCACACCGACATTGGTTCTGCCTAGCTTTCCAGGATGTGGGGGCACTGAAGCAGAAGCACTGGAGGGGGCATGCGGAGCTTCTCCAACAACCCCTTCCCCGGACAGTTAGTGTGCTGCGCTTATCTACGGAATGGGGGGAGCTGCAGGACTCCTGGGTCCTCACAAGCCAGAATTACCCAAAGAAAGAGAGGGCAGCTGGGCAGTGGGCAGGGGTGCGAGCGTGCGAGTGAGCGAGGAATCCTCTTTTCCGAGAACGCCACCAATAATGCACTGGAGGTGGCCACTCTGCAGCCGCGGTCCCTTCCCCGAGCGTCCCGCTGCCTCCTGTAGTCGCCGTCACAATAGCTACAGCTACAGCCGCCGAAGGGCACAGGGCTGCAGTAGCAGCCGCCTGACAAGTGTGATAAAATGATCTTCCTTAACTAAACTCGTAAAGCACTGGGCAATAAAACTCAATCTTCTGTAAAATCCAATTAAGTCATTATCTGACTGATTGTATCTTTAATTGAAAACAGAAGTGACAGTAAATTTCTGTGATATATCAGGATCAATCGATACCGCTATACGATTCAGCCCCAAGAAGTGATTTATAATGTCAAACCTATATAGGTAACTCCACATTATTCTCTCTAAAACCACTGGTGGATGAAATTAAGAGTAAGTGCATTTAATAAAAAACAAGATGGTCAGGTTATTGATTACAACAGATGGGGGTGAAATCAAATAGATGTTTTCAAAGCACAGAGCGAAGAAAATACAAGTAATTTCTTTTTTCCTGTTTAATACCGCTCACCAAATATACACACAAGAAAATTCAGTCATCAATAACGTTTTTATTTCAGGTACAGCTGCAACTACACAGAACAATGAATTTTTTTTAGACTAGTTTCATTTCAGGATGGCTTCTGTTACATAAGGAAGTACTCCATAAGCAATTTTTAAACAAAATAATGAACTCAGAAATCTGTGGTAACTTTTAAAGATGTACTTATTTCCAAGTCAGATTACAACCTAAGGTTACAAAATAGTCTAGATTGCATCCATTATTTTCCTGTGGTAGAATATGTATGATAAACTCATGTTATTCTAGAAACAACACCTAAGAACTCTGCATCACTGGGGTTACTTTAAATTGTATTATTTTCAAATTACCCTTTACAGAAAAAGTAGTCATTCTTAAGGGCTTTAATTTTTTCTTACTATGTTTCAGTCATGTTTTGGATTTGGAGGGATGAGGTTGCAGCTATTTCCAACAGCAACACAAACACACAGTATCTCAATTTACTCTGACCTTCTGCAGATTTCTAAAATAATCACTAATTTTGCCTGCTCTTTTCTTCTCACTGGTCAGGTACTTAGCTAAATTAAAATTTTTGCAGTTTTAATAAAATAAATTTTTTAAAAATCTAAGGCACCTAAGATTTCATTTTAAAACTAAAAGGAACATCTAATTATGACTCAGATGCACACATATGGCTTCAGTTAAGTGAACTGTATTTCTTGAAAACTACATGTACCCCAACATAGTGTCATAGAAAAAATGAGGGACACTACTATGTGAGCAAAGCACTTTTAATTCTTGTGAATGGTAGTCACAAACCCTGAACTATTACAAATGTGTTTTAGCCTCTGGGCTGCACTCTAAGGAATATAAACCAAACATATTCTCAGTAGTTAAGTCAGCATGAGTCAATGAGTCAATGCAAAATATTAACAACAAACCCTGTGGATAATGGAATAAGCCTGCTATTCCAAGTGAACTGCCAATGGCAGGCAGCAGGCACCGCTTACTCGTCCTCCTCGATGACGGGAGTGACCGTGAAGTTGTTGGGCTCCGACGCAGACTCACATTCCAGCACTCCCTTTGTGCTCTCGTTACTAATAGGAGAGCTGCTCGAGAGGGAAACCAAGCCAGAATCTTGACTGCTGGGCGGCGAGAATACTGGGAAGTGGGGGAAGAGAGAAAGGGAGAAGAGTTTGTTAAAAGTGGCTAGTCTTTCTTCCTTCAGTAGTCAATTAGGCTCCAACAAAGAAAGAGGCACTCTCCATTCCTATTTCGAGTTGAAAGTGTTTTTATAGACACTCATTAAAATCCCCAGCGCTTCCTCAGAATAAAAAACTAGTATTCTGCACAGTATATTTAACTCAAGGGGAAAGTTAGGTAGCAGAGTTCCAGTTGTATGTTTATTAAAAAAACAAAACTAAACAAAAGTCTGTTCCACCCTTCCTGGGGAAACTATTTCCACCCTCCACTGAGTCCCTCCCCTTTATGTAAAGGATGCTAATGAAACTTGTCAATGATCCATCTGACAAATTACCCCAAGTAAGGCTCCACCCATGTATTTCCAATATTTGACAAGATAACCCGAGTTTTTCAAGATACAGCAGATGAAGTTGATAGTCAATCAACTTTCGTATCATTTCTCTTGGCTATATAATGGGACAAAAACAGAGGGGTGTCAGCATCAGTAAATGGGAGGGAATTTTTAAAAAACAAAAAGTAAAATGAATTGATCTACGAATATACCACACCAAAATAGAAGTCGGGTAAAGATTTTGAAAGTAAACCTATGAACATAAAACTCTACTGGGAAACCGACATTAAATATGAAGGATGCAAAAGTAATAATGAATTTTTGCAACCTTACATGCCACAGTAGATACAAAATTTAAGCAAAGGGTCTCTGACCTTCTTAACCTTAGCCGAGTTTAGATCCACCCCCAGAACTCCCTTCCTGCCTAGTGTGAATGTAATTAAGGGGAAGCTGCAGTGGTAATTTCTCTCCTCATTAACTTCCTGATTGGTTTCAGCCTCAGGATTCTGCCGGGCAGTAGTTTGTCACCAATTCCAAATGGCCAATCGTTAATACTAATGTTTGTGTAACTAACTGCCAGCATCTGCCACGGCTTCTTGTACAACAATAATGGTGAAAGGGTACATTAGTGCTCCTGTGTTAATTCAGCTTGTGTTCATCAATAGGGAAATCTATGATGTAATTAGCAAAATGCATTGGGAGCTGCGTGCTGAAGTCATTTGTAGAGAACTAAATCATAGTAGAAGCTGTACTGGGTCCTGATGTGTTTGCCATCAATACTTATTATGTTTGGAATTTAATAAGGTATATTACCATGCTGAAAAGAGACCTTTTTACAAGAGAACGCTATTTACACTTGTTATGGGTTTGGAAAAGGTTTGCTGCAGCTAGTGGAACCACACAAATAAAAGAACAGAGCTGGGACTTAAGAAGCAGACCTTTAACCACTCCACTGGACTAAATTACTTCAGAAAGCTCCCTCCCTCCAATGTGACATATGGACAGACAGACTGATGGATGGTTTTGTATATAGCTACTTCAATAACCAGTAAGGAAAGGGATGATCTTAAAACTTAACCACGTGAATAAATTTGAAAAGCAATTTAGGAAATTTCCTGACAAGCAAGTTACTTTTTATACCAACCGTATTTGTTTAGCAATTTAAAAAGCATATACATGCATATATAAATATAGCAATCAAAAAAAACTAGGATCTTAGGAAATCTGAAGCCTTCATCTTATTGCACTTCATAAAGGCTTCTTACTAAACTTGAATTGTTATATGGATTTAAAACTCCCTGCAAATCCAAGGGGAATTAAGAATTGTGTGTACATGCACCTGGTTGTTATATATATGCACAGAAAATGTTTTCCAAAGATAGTAGACTTTGATGATATCTTGTTACTATACAGATCTAGAAAGCTGACTAATAGCCTAGTGGAGAGTCTGAGTTAATCTGCTCCCCACCCCCACCCCCATCCCAAACCAGTGATAGAAGCCATGGGGAAGAGAGTGAACATTTACTGATGACTGCCTGTATGCCACATACTGTAATGGGGCATTTCACTCTCAAACCATTCATTGAATTACTCTTCCCGCTTTGCATTGGGGGCCCTGTGGAAGCCGCCACGGACAGTATGGCACTGCTCAGCCTGGATGTGGCATGCTCTTGCCCCTGGCACCACATTCAGGAACTGGCCAGTGGACCTTCCCAATCCCTGTTTTAAGAGATTCAAGGAGGCAAAATAACTGACCCTTGTCAGTCTGATGCAGAGGCTACAAAGGAATTGGTAAGTGTTCTCTCAACATGTTCGGAGTCTTGGGCCTGCCTTCTGCCTTCAGTTAGCAGCTGACCTAGGAGATGTCTCCCTTTCCCCACCCTCCACCCCGCATTTAGCCAACTTGAGACTGAAAGGGGGAGGAATAGGAATTTTACAAAAGAAAGCAAGTAGGGAATGTCCCCTTTCACTCTCACTTGAGTTGGTATTTTCTTGGAAAGTGTTTGTATGACTTAGGGCGACAAAGAGAGCTGAGTGTTACCTGCATAGCCTAAGGAGGCTGGAGCCTACTTAATGCATGACTGCACTCCACAGAAGATGTAAATAAATGAACTTAACCTGTCTTAAAAAGCACTTTTTTTTAAAAGTGTTTCTCTGCTCAAAATTTAAATCCATGTTATTTTTACATTTGCTCAAGGCTTAGCATTATCTTTGAATAACAGGCTGTTGAAGTTAGGGACAGTATCTGTTTCTCATTTCGTATAGCACCTCATAGAGTTCCAATTGTGTAAAAACATTTAGTGGTCTTAGTGACTAATGTCCAAAATGAATTTTACCACTACTTGTATATATAATTCCTTAAGGTACTCTCTCCACTTTAATGCAACTTCATTAAGCTTTCTTTGGGAGAAAGAGTAATCATTGACCATTGTAAACTGCTTTATACTAATTAAAAATTCCAAAATCAAAATGATCCTTTTTGTTATTTAAGTTCATTCTAAGGGTCCCTCCACAGGGCTAATTACAACTCATAAGATTTGTCTTAATCATTTTGTAAAATTGCTAGCCCCTAGTGTCAGTGCTACTGTGGGAGAACAGATAGTATTGGTGGCACTAAGAAATTGGTTCAATCTTTCTGGACAGCAATCTAGTGACATGTAATAAGAACCGTAAAACTGTTCAGCCTCTCTGACCTGGTAATTCCACTCTGGGGAATAACCCCAAAGAAAGAAAGAATAATTGGCCCAGAGATGCTTCACTATCTGCATCAGTGAAGATGTTAGCACGTTGCTCTTGTGCTGGGGGGAGGAGGAGCTGAATTGCGGGGTGGGGGGCAAGAAGCACTCACAGGCAATAAACAATTAGGGATTATGCTACCCTATAATCACTGATAGCCCCCAAGCATTTACAGAAATGGAAGAAATGACTTCTAGAAACCAAAGTAGAGACTGAAAAGTAAGGAAAAGAAAAAAAAAAAGGAAAACTTGCCAATCTGATCTTTTTTCCTGTTAACAATGAAAGGTGGTAAACCTCTGAGGCTGACCCTTATTTGAACCAGCAAATTTAGTATCTGTTTTCTCTTAAGTAGCCTATTTGTCTACAGCAGCTAAAGGGCCTCTCTTTTACTATTTTTTTTTTTAAATCTTTACACATAATCATTTTTACCAATGTGGAAAAGAAACCACTTAGGATGATTTTGGTGATGCCATCTAACCATCAGTATTCTTTCTGAAAATTATATACTGCCAAAAGGAAAAAAACCTCTGAAAAAACAAAAACAAAAACCACTCTAACTGCTAAATCCTTTGACATTGCAAGGACCCCTGACTTTTAACTTGAATGATCTGTTGGAAGTCAATGGACTGGAATGAATAATTCTCTCCCAGTGATGTGAGAAAACAGGATATTCATGCTTGAGAAAAATTTTCTTCCTCTATATGTTAAGTACTATTAAACTCCCACTAAGAAACCATTTTAAAAATAAGATGCAAGTGGCATTCTTCAATTGTTAGCAACTCTTCACCTAGATGCTGACTGCCAAGGAAGCCCAACGAAAGTGCTACTAGCCTCTTTGGTTTTCTAGACTTTGCAGGTACAAGGAGTCTGATGAAAAGCTGATGAAAATTTCTTAAACAAGTTCTTCCGCTTCATGATAACCATAGTGTTTGGAAATAAAATCATGTCCAATCAATACCACTTAGCAGATATTTAATGTTTCACAAAAGAACTCTTTTCCAGATGGAACTGCTGCCCTTCTCACTAACATTTAAAATAATTAGGATTATCTTAGCTGTCCAAAGCTGGGCAGGTTTAGTTTGTACTTTCAAACAGCATTAATTCTTGGCACTCAGAACAAGGGATGAAAGGTAAAGATATGAATGGAGATCTTTATTCCACCTGATCTATCATGGATTAGCTCATTCTTTTCCAGTTCATGCCTGCATTCTAGTTAAGAGGAAGGCTGAGCTGTAACTGATGTAATTAGAAACCACAAGCTGAGAAAAAATAGCCCTTTATTAATCTCCCCCATTTGCTATAAATTTACTGAAAAAGTAATAATCTTTGAAACAATTAAATGAGTTTTCCCCCTAAGCAGAATCAAAGAGTAGTGACAAGAAAGGGACTGTTGAGGATTATAGGCTTCTTAAAACCATATCTTAATTGTCAGTTCTAAAATCTAACACCAGTTTTGAAAGGGGCCAGCTCTGCATTTTGCATGTTGTCCAAGCCACAGTAAACAAGGGTTCCTGTAGATGGAATCAGGTGAATTGTCAGTGCTTTCTCCTTGATACAGCCATCACAGCCTTTGCAAGCACTGGAAAATACTGTACTTTAAAAATGAGTTGAACTTCGAACAGAAAGTACATATTTATGCAACATTAATAGTACCTCTTTCCCTCAATACTACACTTCTTTCCTTCTAAAGTTCATGTATAACATTACACAATTCACAAAATACTAATAGAACAAAATTTTAATTTTTGAACAGAAGCCTATCAAGTGTCTTTTTGCAGTGTGTCAGAGATAGCAATAGCCTGGGAGTCTGAGAATCTGGGCTCACAGCCTGGCCCTGTTGCTGCAGACAAGCTTTCTTGCTGCTTGAGAAACTAAGGGATAATGCACTGAA